GATGGCCTGAGCCCGCGGGTTCGAGACCCGCCTGGGCAGCGAGACCTCATCTCTACAATAAATCAAAAAATCAGCCGGGCGTGGTAGTGCATGCCTGTAATTCTGGCTACTCAGAAGGCTGAGGCCGAAGGATCGCCGGAGCCCAGCAGGTCGAGGCTGCGGTGGCCGGGAGCGGCCTCTGCACTCCAATCTGGGCGACAGAGTGAGTCTCCAACTCAAAAAAAAAAAAAATTAAATACTACAGAATCCATTCTTTTGGGTGTATATAGAGTTGCAAAATTAAACCACAGTCAAGATATAGAACTGCACCATCAGCCCGCAAATTTTCTCATGCTACCCTCTTGAAATCAAATCTTCCCTCTGCATTCTATCTCTGGCAACCACCAATAACTTCTCTGTTTCCATAGTTTTACCTTTTCCAGAGTGTCATATAGATTGAGTCATACAGGATGTCGTATTTTGATTCTGGCTTCTTTCACTCAGCATCACACACTAGAGTTTTATTCATATTATATCAATAGTTTGTTCCTTTTTATTGTTGAGTAGAATTCCGTTGTATGCACATACCAGTTGGTTGAACTGTTTTAACCGGTGGAAAGATATTTGGGTTCTTTTCAGTTTTTAGCAATTATGAATAAAGTTGCTATAATTTTTTGTGTAAATTAAGTTTTCATTGCTCTTAAGTAAGTACCTAGGTGTGGGATTGCTAGGTCATAGGTTAAGTATATGTTTAACTTTATAAGAAACTGCCACAATATTTTTCAAAGTGGCTGTACCATTTTGCATTCCCACCTGCAGTGCATCCCTCACCAGCTCTTGTTGTAAGTTAAAAAAAATTACTACATTCTAATAAGTGTGTAGCAGTGTATAGTGGTACTCTACTGTCGTTTTATATCACCTAATGATTATAGGTGTTGAGCACTTCTTCACGTATTTATCGGTCAACTATACATCTTCTTAGGTAAAGCATCATTTAAAATCTGCCCATTTTGTAACTGGGTTTTTGGTCTTTTTTTTTTTTTTGAATTTTGAGAGTTCTAAATACGTGCTGAATATAAGTCCTTTATCAAGTATGACTTATAAATATTTTCTCCCAGTCTGTGATTTATCTTTTCATTTTCCTAAGCACGTCTTTCACAGAGAAAATTTTTAAATTTTGATGAAGTTTAATCTATCAACTGTTTCTTTTATGGATACAGACAAGAACTCTCGCCTAATCCTCAGTCATGAGTATCTTCTCCTACGCTTTCTTTTAAAGGTTTTAGAGTTTTACATTTCTGTCTATTACACCTTCTGAGTTACTTGTGGAATAACCTGTGAGGTATACATCAATGTTCACTTTTTTACATATGAATGTTCAATTGTTCTAGCACCATTTGTTAAAAATACTATCCTTTCTTCAATGAATTGCCTTTGCAACTTTGTCCAAATCAACTAACCATATTTGTATGGTTCTATTTTTGTACTCCATTCCCTCTAGTGGGTCTATATGTATCTATCATTTTGCCAATACCACATTGTTTGGATTACTTAGCTTTACAGTAAGTCTTGAAATCAGGTAGTGTGAGTCTTAAGTTTATTCTTTTTCAAATTTGTTTTACCTGTTCTAGTACTTTGCTTTTTTTCACATAACTTCTAGAATCAGTTTGATAATATCTGTAAAAAATCTTGTGGGAATTTTGATTGATTCATCTTTACCATTCCCAGTAGGTTATTTCAAAACAAATCATTCAGACACTACTATAATTTCATCCATATAGATTTGGCTTATTCCTAAATTTTAAAAAAAATCCCTGATTTTTTGTGGAAATCAACTACACGATTACCTGTCATATTCCTGTTACAACATATTAAGCTAACTGTACCTCTGCCTTCCGTAGTTGACTTTTAAACAGTGTACTCGACCTACACGTACTAACATACAATTTTACAGCTACATTGAGTCTTCTAATCCAGAAACATGAAATCTCTTTCTGTGTATTTAGGTCTTTGTTCATGTCATTACATAATTATTTGTATTTTTCAGCATGTAGATCCTGCATATATTTTGTTCAATATATGCCTAAGTTTTTGGATTTTTGGTGCTACTGTAAATGGTACTTTTCTAAATTTCAATTTTTCAGTTGTTCATTGCTAGCATATAGAAATACAATTGATTTTTATATTTGATCTTATATCTTGCCACCTCACTAAAGCTGTTTAAGAGGTCTGGGTGCTTTTTTTTTTTTTGTACATTTTGTACAATCATGTCATCTGCGAGTAAAGAAAATTGTATTTGCTTCTTTAATTTTTATGTCTTTTATTTCTTTTTTCATGCTTTATTGTACTGTCTGGGTACTATGCCACTTTTTTACAGTTTCTGGAACTTTCAGATGCTTTCAAACTTTTTTATTGTCTTCCAAGTACATATAATTGTTTTATAGCATTTACTTGATAATTCTGATAATTGATGGCTTTGTGTGTCTGTTTCTTTTGTTTCTGTTGTGTATTTGTTTGCTAGGGTTGCTGTAACAAAGTACCCCAAGCTGGGTGTCTTAAACAACAGAAATGTATTGTCTCATGGTTCTGGAGGCTAGAAGGCCAAAATCAAGGTGTTTGGGGCATGGTGGGTTCCTTCTGAGGGCTGTGACAGAGAAATCTGTTCCATGTCTGTCCCTTAATTTCTGATAGTTTGCTGGCAATCTTCGGTGTTCCTTGACTTGTAGATGCATCACCCTAATCTCTGCCTTCATGTTCACATGGTGTTTTCCTTGTGTGCATGTCTATATCCAAATTTCCTCTTTTTATAAGGACACTAGTCATATTGTTTGAGGAGCCCACTCTGCTCCAGTGTTGGTTAATCTTAACAAATTACATCTGCAATGACCCAATTTCCAAATAAAGTCACATTCTGAGATACTGGGGACGTCAACATATGAACTAGGGGGAAGGGACACAATTCAACCCACAGCATGTTGGTTCTCATTCATGGTGTCCTGTTGCCTCGTATGCCTGGTTATCATTGACTATATGCTTTTCATAGTACCAAAAATATTCTTTTCTGTAATAATTCGAAGTCTAAATAGAAAGCACTTTCCTTTAGAGAACAGTGCTTGCTTCTGCAAAGTAACTGGTGTTAAAACACCCAGTCTAGGAGTTCTATTAACCACACGCAAGATTTGGGGTTCTCTGAATTACCCAAGAGATGCAAACTCAAGCTACAAATCTATATAAGGGTTGGCTTGCCCTGGTTCATATTTACCCAGATTTTGCAGTTCCGTAGACTCTCACCTTATTGCAGGAGGGTCTTCTATTAAACAGTTTACCTTGTACCAGCTTTGTACTTTTGACATCTGACCCTTCCTCTGATCCTTCCACCTCATAAAAGACACGAAAATGAAATTCAAAATTTCCAAGATTGGCAAATGATCCGAAGGCAAAAGTGGCTGTTATGCTCACTTATCTCTCCAGGCTACCATTTTTCTTTCAATTCTGGCCTCATTATTTCTTACTTTGAAAAACATTTTAAAGAATATCCTAATTCGCATTTTAAATTTTAAATGGGAGATGGTTGGTCTGAATAACTTAAGTTCACTATTTGAAGAAAGAATACTTAGTGTCTCTCTTTTGTAAAATTGATTCTTCATGGTAACCTCTGTAAATATTCAGAATTAGCATTTATTGAGGTTGTTTCAGGCTAATTAAATATTTATTTAAACAGTACGGTATTTCTTGTTAAAGTAATGATTCAATGTCTCATAATATGAGAAAATTTTAAACTCCACTTTTTCCTCAGTGCTAATCTAAAAACCTTCACTGTAAATTTGGGTTTATTTGGTATCCACTAAAATGTGACAGAGGAAAAGTGGTTCTAGTATGAAATAATAAGAATAATCTATCTATAATATATGAAATAGAGTCTTTAATAAGATTAGTATCTTAAGCTAGTTATGATGAACTAGGATTTAATATTATTAAAAGTTGTTTCTCCTGAACTATATCAAAGAAAATCACTACTGGTGTTTTGAACTTAAACACGAGAGAGTTGTAGACCTTTGTTACCAAAGTAAGAGGAGTGCAATAAATGGCTAATCTAGGGAAAGGGTACATTGTGGAAGATTAATTTTTTTTTTTTTTTTTTGAGTTGGCGTCTCACTCTGTCGCCCAGACTGGAGTGCAGTGGCCGCTCCCGGCCACCGCAGCCTCGACCTGCTGGGCTCCGGCGATCCTTCCACCTCAGCCTTCCAAGTAGCCAGAATTACAGGCATGCGCTACCACGCCTGGCTGATTTTTTTGATTTATTGTAGAGATGAGGTCTTGCTGCTCAGGTGGGTCTCGAACCCGCAGGCTCAGGCGATCCACTCACCTCAGCCTCCCAAAGGCGCAGGATTACTGGCTGAGCCACCGAGCCTGGCTGAGATTAATGTTTAATATAAATTTTACAATTCTATCAAGATGTAATAAATAGTGATGTGTGGATAACAGTACACCAATCACAGAGTTGGATAACTCTTGGGATATATCATGACATGATGATTCATGGGCCTGAAATTTAGCTCAGTAGAGGATATGATAAAGGTCTTAAAGAATAAAAGTCATAAAAGAGAGGGATCAGAGGCCCTCTCTTGATACAATTATTTTTTATGGATGATCAGGGCATCCTGGACTTTGTCCAGCCTCCTACTGATACCTATGGATAGTCATAGGTGATGAATGAATTCATTTAGTTCCTCTTGCTTTGCATTTAAGTCAACCAAACATGGGGGCATGGTTAACTCTAGGAATCAGGAAAATGAGGTTAAAAGTTCCCATTTTTCACAAAGAAGCAAAGGAGCCTTGCCCTCAAATGACCTTAAATAATTTGGATGTGCTCTCAGTCTCAGTGTGGGGAACCTGGAGGTGTCTGAGCACACTGGGAACTGTCTACACAGACAGCCCCAAAGACTTGGCTCTATGAGTCTCTCTCCCTGCCCTACAACCAAGCAAAGGCTCTTCCCAGAGCTGGGGAAGCAGGGCCTTACCTGTGCTGTCTTCCCCAAGGCCTTCTGTGGCCTCCCGAAGCTTAATGTCCATCACCCTTGTGGAAATCATGTCCAGGTCCCTGAAATCAGATGGAAATTTATGTTAAAGGAATATATTCAGCGGCAATTACCAATGAATGAAGTGGAGATGATGGCTGCTTTTGCCATGATCACGCCCACACACATTCCCAGCAAAGACAGAGTCCAGAGCAGAGTGCAGGACAGTACAGGCCAAACACATATTCACAGCCACAAGATGAGTAACAACACAACTGCTTAATCACTGACCAGGGCATTTTAATGGAAACTGAATCACTGGAAAAAATGCTTCACCGATTTGCGCAATGCAGATTAGGATCTTTCTTTCAAAAAAGTTTTTCTCGAATTATGAGAAGTAACGTTCTACTCTGGTTTACTAAAGAAAGTTTCAAAAATACAGAGAATGAAAATCACCCATAATCCCACCAACCAAGGGTAACCACAGTTAATGTTTTCACGTCCTTCCAATATATTTTCTGTGCAAATATTCTGTGTATATGCACAGGTATATCATATTAGGAAGCTTGGTTTCCTGATTTTCTTAACTTTTACCACATCATTAAGATTCTTCATAAGTGTGATTTTAATGGCTAGAATAATGTTTCTACATACAGCTGCACTGTCATTTATTTACAATGAGTTTCTTTTTTGAACTTAATGAAAAATTTCTAACAGATACAAAAAGTACAGAGAATATATAATGAACTTAACATATGGCTGATCTTGCTTCATCTTTACCCCCACTCGCCCTCCTCATGCCTAAAAAGGTAATTTCCAAGCAAATCAACCAGATACTATTAATGTTATCATTTCATCCATATGGATCTGTCATCTGTCTTCTTCCTAAATAAAAACATCTCTGACGCTTCATGGAAATCAAATAAATAATTACAGTCAGTATTCCCACTAAAGATTATCGAGCTAGCTGTCCCTGCCTTTCATAGCTGACCTTTAAATGGGGCATTCTACCCACATGTACTATCATATCATTTATTTGGAAAGTTATTTCTTAGTGGTAGTTACCTGAATCCTAACCCTGAAAAAAGAAGGGCTCAAATATTATTATTCAGTTCACATCTACCACCTGTACACAGCATGTAATGAGAAGTGATAAGGGAAATAAAAAGAAAATATTTAACAGATGAAAGAAATCATAGGTCTGAGCCATCGTTGGCTCTAACATTTGGGTCTCCTTTAAGATTGGTGTCAAAATGTCTGTCCTTTCTACCAGTCAATTCCTTAAAAGCTAAAAATACTTCACCAACTTTGGTTTTTCATTTTTATGCAATTTGGCTTCATTAAAATGTCTCATCTTGTGTCAGCTCTGCCAAAAACTCTTTGTTGGAACCTCACTAAATTTGACTCATGAGTATGCTATCATTAAATGAGGGTTGGACAGAAATAGTATTTTTCAAACCCCTTACCACTGTTTTAGGTTTCAAAGAGCATCCTTGCTTTCGTTATCTGCATCCATTATCAAAGTAACAGACAATGCTGTCAAACAGAATAAGGGTGACAACAGTTCTAGGCTGGTGGCCCAATCCAAAGGCCCAGGTGTTCCAAAGGTCATTCCCTCAACCCACAATATGTGAGAGTCAGTCAGCAGCCTCCTGATCCCTAAGTATCCTTTGTTCAGTGATACTACTGGAGGAGGGGATAGATACCAGGAAATTCAAAGGAGGAGGCCATGGAGAAGGAAAAAATAAGGAACAAGAAGGAGAGCAAAAATGGTAAGGGTTGGTGAAGAGTCACTAACTATTTCCCTTGGGCACCAACTCATGAGGTTGCCACTGAGCTAGAAAGCAGAACTGCAAGCGCATTCCATTGCTTGAGTTTGGCATTAACTACAACAACTACAAATTACTTATCAAGCATGCAGCGTATCACCTGAACCATTTCATTTACTCCTCAAGAACTTTTAAAATTTCCATTTTGGAGATGAGGACATATTTTATTTAAATTGCCCAAGGTGGTAAAGCAGACACCAGGCTCTATATTCTAGCTGACTGTATACCCAGTATGGGCAGGTGCCCTTGAGGTGCTGGAATACAGTGACAGACAAGAGCAGTGTGGTCCCTGCTTCTAGCAGACACTGGCCCAGTGGGGGGCAGAGTCCTGAGCTGTCCTTGGCTGAGCCTCAAGGGAAGCTGGAGAATCCAAAGGACAGAATCTTTCACTGAAATCTCCCACAGCTCCCCTGTGCCTTCTAATCCCCACAGCTGCATGGACTCAAACTATTGCCAGGTAACTGACAAAAAGCACATTCAAGGTCATGGGGGAGCATCTGCCCTGTGAGAATACAGAGTGCACAGATGGAGAACCGTCCCCTTCACAGACATTCCAGGTGCAATTCCCCAGAGCTGAGACAATAGAATGTCATCTCTGCTGGACTAAGTAGCTTGCCCTTCTAAACATGGTCCCCCATCCTCAGTAAAATTCAAGTAAAGGTTAGGGGAAAACCATAATTAGAAAGACAATGTGGCAAATACCTAATTTCATCCAGCACTGCTTTTTCTTCTCACTGATACTCTGAGTTCCAGTCAGGCCACCTCAATATTCCCTCAACCAGCATCTGTCCTCTACCCTCCTGCCTCTGTGGTTCTGACAGCTCCAAGTGTCACAATAATGCAAAGTTATTCTTTAAATGAAACCTGGATCTGAGGAGCCTCTTCAGGGATTCCAATTAACTCACAAGGGTGTGAAGCCTCCATCCCTTTCTGCATTGTACAGCATTCATTAGTGTGTGTCTGGGCACCCACAGAACCCAAGGGAGCCCTGTATCCAAGAAAGGCTCAATGTGGGGGCTCCCCTGCTCCCTCTCTCTCCACCCTGTGGCCACAGGCTCCTTCCCAGCTTATGGCAGAATTCCATCATTAGTTGAATTGAAGAATGAGAATAGAGTTCAATATAGAGTTTTTAAGCTTATAATCCATTACATTCACCTGAACAATACAAAGAAAAATATCTTGTACCCTGACCACATACATCTGAGCACATAATTATGTATGAAAGCCTTAGGTTTCACCTCCACAGAGTCACTAATTCCACACCACTTTCCAGGTTACGTTCGGACCCCTGTGGATTATTTCTTAGCCTCCTGCACCTTTCTTTCATAATGCTCACTAAGGGTGTCATTAATAACTTCTTTGGGAGGTGTCTGCTTAAAATCCCCTTCTCCCAAATGGCTTTCCTGATGTGAGTGCCATGCTTGTTATACTCAAGGCTCTCTTACTGGTGCCTAGGACAGCACCTAAAGAAAGCACGGAACACAGCACACATACAAAAGATAACTGGAAAACTAGAAGGGCTTCTGAGCATTGGTACCCAATTGAGATTCTTGAATATCAGTTCACTTCACCCGGGAGAGCTGTAGAGAGGCCCAGAGTGAGTCACTTTTGGCTCAGCTTGCCCTCATCCAGCTTGAGGAGGTGATCTAACCTACATAAAGTCAGCCTTAGGGAAGACTAGGTGAAACAGCAACTGCCATCTGGTGTCCTCCCCCTTGCCCTGCCAACATTCTTCTCCCTCACCCTCTTTCCACGGCCGGTTCTTCCGCTATCCTGCATCACCTTCTCTGGGATCTCTGTACTCACCAACTTTCAGGTCAACACTGGCAATGATATCCTCTCAAAGACAAGTATTTTAAGCAGAAAACTCCGATGAAAGAATATAACCGCCAACATGAATCCTAAACTCTAAAAAAAAAAAAAAAAATCCTTCAACTTTAAAGGTGTGTTCCACTTCCCATAAGGGTGGAGTAGCCTATACCACGTAAACCTTCTACCGATAATAATGATAAACTGTGGACAAAATATTAAAAACAACAATTTGAAAACAGTAATGGGCAATCAAAAGCAGGCAGAAATTAGACTGGAATCGACCCTTGAAAGAAGAGAACTGCAGTAGGAGAGATTTACATGTGTAGGGCTTTTGACCTGGAAAAACTCCCTGGTGTGTGTATTACGGAGTGACTGGAGCTCAAAGAGAAAGCTAAAAAGACTCACTGTCTTGATGATCAAAGAATGGAGTTTAGGGCTACCAGAGCAGATGGAAAGTGAGGGGAAATATTTTAGGAAGGAAAGAACTTCAGAGCTAGGCGCACTTTTCCTAGTTCTTGGCTCTCCTGAATTATGCATATAATGGGGAGACCCCCAAGGAGGTAGACAGACAATAACAGCTGGAAGGCTGAGAGAAATGAGCTCAGATTTTTCTACTGCCCATTGCAGGAGAGATAGAGTTCACAGTTTGAGTCCAGCCAAGGTAGCAGCCTGCTAGAACAAAATCAACAATCTTCAGAAGATAACAGATTCTGGAGTTAGTACAATGTATCATTCACAATGTCTAACATGTAGCCAAGACGCACTAAACATGTAAATAAACAGGAAAATATGACTCATCGTCATGAGAAAAAAACACTTGAGAGAATGATCCTAAGTGACCAAAATGTGTAAATAACAAAGACTTTAAAGATACCACCATATATGTGTCTGAGGACTTTAAAACAGTGTAGCCATAATGAATAAACAGATGAAGAATTTTAAAATTAGAACTAGAGATTATAAAAAAGAGACCAAGGGAAATCATAAAGATGAAAAGCATAATTTCTGAAATTCACCAAATGGGCTTAACAGCAGATTGGAAACATCAAAAGAAAGGACCAATCAAATTGAAGATAGATCAGTAGAAATGATCCAATCTGAAGAGTAGAGAGAAAAAAGTCTGGGGAAAAAAGTGAATGTGCACCGAGCCTCAGTGGCCAGTGGGACAATATTAATCAGCTTAACATACATCTAATTGACTCCAAGAAGCAAGAGAGAGGGAGAAAAGGGGGAGGAAGAGTAGGAGGGGGAAGGGAAAGAGAGAGAGAGAGAGAGACAGAGACAGGAGAGACAAAAAAGCAGAAAAAAATCTGGAGAATTTACGAAAAAAATTTCCAAAAAATGCTGGAAAAGACATTACAGATCCAAGAATTTTAGAAAACCACATAAGGCACATCATAGACCTTAGAGAAATGTGGGATACAACTTAGTGTACTAAAACC